ATGAGATGTCTGTGGACGATCACAGCGACAGACACATTTCACAGTTCAGCACTGCAGCTGCGACCCGCCGTGCCGGTGCGTTCCCCAGACAAAGGCGGGATTAGGTGCACCATGGCCGGGCTACAGGAGGCCCATTCATGGTGCTGAAAGGACTGAATTCCTCCAGACACTGAGGAGAAGGAGGGGTGGGGGGCGAGACGACTGGACAGGCCAACCCCGCTCCCCTCTCCTCCTTCTCGTTTACTGTCCATCCCCTGGGATTGTGGGAACACAAATCTGACACAGACGGTTCCTGCTCTGTGTGTCTGTCTGTGTATCTGTGTGGCATAGACACGCGCCCGCGTGCTCCCCCCCGAGTGGTGGAAATGTGAAAAATCCTGGAAATATAAAAAATGAGCGCTACTGCTGCCCAGCAACAGGGTGGGTTGTGCACGCAGAGGGTCGTTGGGGTTCACACGAGCACGCGCATCAGCTGTATTTCCCCCCCATGCAGCCTTGTCTCGCGCCCTCAGTGGGTAGCGAGGCGTTAACTCTATGTCATATTGACCGGTAAATATATGCCTGGCATCCTGTCTCCCATGTTTAAAGCCCGCAGACCACTTGCCAGGGGATATTTGTTTAATTAAGAGTACCAGGGGCCTACAGGGGATTCTTATTTCACTGGCTGCCTGGGGAGATGGAAATCTTTTAGATATTTTGCTTTTCACTAAACAGTAACCTGCTCATCACATAAAACGAAGAAACAAGGAAAGTGATTCACTACTGCTTTAGTATTCCTGCAGAGTCCCTTAACATGCAGCACCTGCTGTCATAACTTCATTTTCAGCTCAAATTTAATACGTTCTTTTACTCACGCAGAGAGGTTTGCTTCAGCAGACTAATGTTTTTATAATATACGGTTTTTTTTTCATTACTGGGTAATTTGACTTCGTTGGTTTTTATTTATTTAGTCTATAAAATGTTCACAAGTTCAGTGCTGCCTTTAGTCAAGGTATTTTTGTCTAACGGGGATGTGGTGGTGGTGAGTTACCATCATAAGATACAAAGTCACACCCCAAAAAATCTGTCACTTTTGCTTGATTTTAATAAATTATCAAATATAAACTGGAGATTATTCTTGCAGTCAGCTGATTGATTAATTGGCTAATCATTTTGAGCTCAAAGCTAGTCAGTCCTCACACACACAAACACTCCTGCGGGAATAGATTTCTCTTGTTGGCCATGCCTGTAAAACAATGTGGACTGAATCCAGAACCCCATTGTTCCTCCATGTGAGTATGTGTGTGCTTCTGTGTATCCAATGCATGATGTGAGGTCCATCTGCCCCGTAGCCCCAGAAAGCTCATGATATGTCAGAATACATCAGATCATCAGCATCTCCTTGATTTTCTTTCCTTTGCAGAGATGGGGAGGAGGAAAAAAAATCTTGAATGCCCACGGATCAATGGGCGGAGGCTGCAGCTTTTCATCATAAATGAATGTTTGATTGTAAAATAAATCAATAAGGCTCAAGTATTAATACATTCTTAAATTTGGATGTTGCAGTTTTGCTCAGTAGGTACCTTTACCTGACTGCTGACTGTGAAAATAATAGATGTAGTCAGCATCTTTTAGGTTTATATTGGTGGTCAAAGGTGGTTACAATGTACTTGTATGCAGGGTTCCTTCCCACTGTGCCCTGATGGTAAGGCCGCTGGGAGTCTGCACTCCAACCAATCACAGTGACCTCAGGTAAAACTTGTTACCATGGTGACATGCTCTGTGTGATGCCAGAGGTTAAGAGCCGAGCGGCAGCTAAAGGCACAAATCGCACTGTTTCTAAGACTGCTAAGCAAGCGGGGCTCGTGCATTCAATTTGATCATCTTGCCCTTGTAATCTCTTCCTGTGCCCTTTTGCTCTTGTAATCTCCACAAAGACTGCCAGCTGCTAACAGGATACGCAGCATCCGCATCTCAACAGAGAACAAATCGGCAGACTGAACCTTTAAATGAAAGCAGAATTCATTGTAATCAGATTTAGCCGGTGGAGCCTGTCTCTCCTCCAAAGTGTGAGGCATTGCAATCCTTGCCACCTGAGTTTTCCCAGAGATGAAGCTGGCATAAAACGCAGAGTGACTGGCTGGCTGATTGATCGAAAAACAAGAGAGAGCACCAACACTAGATTCTCTGTTTCCACTGCAACTCCCTCGCTCCATTCCTCCTTTCAACCTGGCACCTCTTTACATCTCACCATGGCAACTGCACTGTGTGTGTGTGTGTGTATGTGTGTGTGAGGTGAATCTCATGGTTCCTCAGCCACCGCTAGTCTCCGTGACTCGAGGCACGTTCAGATGGTTTTTGTATTAGTCCTGAATGAAGTGCCAGACACTGAAAGCAGGGATCTCATTGGACACGTTGATCTCAGGGTGCTGGTGGGAGAGAAGCTGTCCAGCCCAGCCAAGTTTGGCCATTTGCAGATGTACGAGCCAGTGGAAAAGTGTGAAGAAGTGGCTTCTTAAAATGTAGTGAACTGTGGGAACACTGCAGCCAGTTCTTTCTTTCTTTCTTTCTTTCTTTAAAGAAAGAAATACTTTGAACCACCATCTACATTAACTTTAGTAGTGTCCAACACATAAAAACTTTATATACAGGATCACCAGTCAGGAATACCACTTAAAAAGTTTTTTGCTTTGCATCCAGAAAAGTGTTTTTTTTTTTTATTCTGTAAAAGTTATACTTCTACATCATTAATGCTGTTGCACAATCCTCTGATATGCTTTAATTCAGGATTCGTTTAGTGCTCTTTTATGTCTGTTTAAAACTTAAAAGATAAAGCTTTTAGTTTAACTCAGAACAAAAATGATAAACATCAGCTCACCTGTTGTGTTCCAGCTGCAGAAAAAATACACTTTCCATTACCTCCAGAGTTCATAAATGAACAAATTACGGTATCTCGTTTGTTTAATTACAGTAAAACATATGTGTAAAAACGATATGTTGTGTTTTTTTTAAGTGCTCAAACAGTTCTTGGTCAGGTGTGTTTCCTTCAGCAATCAGCAGCGCCTCCTTGTTATGTGCTAATTTGTAAATTTCACATTTGGGGAATTTTTGCCTTTGGATGTCAGGCTTGATTTCTCTCCCTGTGCCCAAATGAATGCCAAGCTGAGAATGTTACAATTTAGTATAAATAATGCTTTAAAAATGTTTCAGTTTAAACAGATATCCTTAAAATTTGGCCCAAGTGTCTTCAGTGTGGGAGGGGTATCATTTGAGTCCTGGCAAGAAAGAAAATCTAAATGTATGAACACAGCATCATATGCCAGACAGGGAGTAGCTGAGCTCACTCAGGCATGTGTGCTCCTCACCCAATCAAAAAGGGACATTTTTTCAGCCAATGGAAAAATAGCACCGTGCTGTTTCTAATTTCTTAGCAGGAGCCAGGGAATCACTTAGAAAGAAGAAGAAGTGCTGGGTAGCCTGCAACCCACCTCCCACACATCCTGTGCCCACCCCATAGTTTCACTGTGTTTTAGAAAGACAACTCTGAAGCGGACTCCACAGGAGTCACACACACAGTCATACTGCACTCTAAAAATCACTCCAACGTTTATGGAATAAAACAAATTCATCTTGTAATGTCTAAATTAATTTTTTGTGTAATAACCTTAGTCTAGTCAGACATCATGTACAAAACCCCCCCAACCCCAAACAGAATCTCACAGGCAGGAGGAGATCCCAGCAGCTGGCCTCTAATCTTCAAACTAAAAGCCTGCTTTCCTAACCTCTGAGCTATTACTACACCTACCTTCCTTTTTACCCACTTATTATTCCTAGATGCCCAAAAATAGGAGGCTGAAACTGATAGTATCCTGTTATTTCCTTATCTTGCTTAAATTATATGCAAGATGCAATATGATGGTCACGCTGGCATAAATCACAGAGACTCTGCGTTTTATAGCTGCACCATTTCACCAAGTGGAAATTTGTCAAGATATCAAGTGCATTTTTTTTTGCAGTGTTACCAAATTCTTTTGGAAATACGTGTCTCCGCTTGAATTTAAAAGAGAGTTCTGTGGGTTTTAATTATGCGTGGCTGCCGAGAATGAGCATGCAGTGATGGGCCAATTAGCAGTCTGCTGCCTGGTGGAAGGTTTTAAGACTTTTCTGGTGATATCTTCACCTTTCTGCCTATGAGTGCGCGTCTTTCTCTGTAGATTGCTAAAAGCAAGAGAAGTTTCCAGCCAGGCGGCTTCTAACCTACAACTCTAACCCCTAATCTAATCCTCACTAGAGCACATGACTCAGGCGCTAATCCTACATCACCATGCAGTCTTCAGCTCTTGTTGACATTTCTTTGACAAGTAATCAGTTGGCTTTTCAAAGGGAAAGTGGAGCCAAGTTTTAGTAACACTTTCACTCACACTGAATAGATTTTGTATTTTTTGGTTTATAATTGAATAATGTTTTAAAGCTCAGAGGAGTTAATAGTCAGGGAGATGGTGAATTCTCTTAGAAAACCAGGCTAATACAACTCTAAAGCACCTCTGCACAAGGCTGTGGTGGAGACTGCAGTGGATCTACCAAAGCCATTCACACTTTATCCTTGGGCCTCAGTCTTTATCATACAAAACTAGACTCAGCACCTTCGGACTGGTTAAATCTATATATAAAAACCTTTGTGTGTACTTTTTGTGAAGAGTAAGACCACAGCAAATAAAAGCCAAAGCAATTCAGTTTTCTGAATTGCTTTGGCTTGTCTTCTTTGTCTGCTGCCATGGCTTGGGTCTAGAGGCTACAGATTTTAATGGAAAGCATGAACTGCATGCTTCACAGTTTCCAGAGTTAAAAGTCAAAAGTTGAGCTCTTAACCCTTGTTGTGTGTGATTGACAGGGAGGCATTCAATTGGCAAACACCACCATCATCGCAACCATTCATCTGTCAACAAGGAGGCCTTGAACACCAGGATGGTGCTAAGTGATGACTCAGCAGAGAGAGACCATCTGATTGGAGCAGGCCTTGTGTTTGGTGCCAAACTCCCACTCAGCTCCACCAAACACCACCACTCACATAAGCGCGTCCACTTGGATTTTGTAGAGGAGGACCCACCTGTGGCGGAGGAGCTAACCGCAGGAGGTGCGGGTCCAGATCAGCCCGGGAACCCCTTATCCGATGACGTGATCACCGTGGAGTTTCACAGTCCTGCCCCCGACGTCGTGCCCTCCGATGCTGCTCTGGGATGGGCGAAAGCCCCCAAGCCCCAAAAGCAGAAGGCAGGCGACCCTACATCATGGACCCTTTCTGATTTTTACGACTATCTATCCCCCAATGATGACGACCCCTCGGCAGTCGATACAACCCCAGAACCCGAACCCTCCCCGTCACCTCCAGCAGAAATGGAGGATGAGAATCCGCTCCTAGCTGGTTCTCCTGCTGTTCCCGACAAGGTCAAGCCTAACGTGGACAGCAGGCCACCCTTACCAGCTCCTCCCACGTCAGGGCAAGACCAGGATGAGGGGCTAGGCTTAGGAGGTGCCATGGGGGAGGGTGGCTGCAGGCTGGGCTTTGTGCAGTCTGGGCCCGGGGTGTGTGTATCTCAGTGTGACGTCAAACCCAATTTCTGCTTCAATCAAGGGGTGTGCACCGTAGTGCCAGGAATGGGAGCCTTCTGCAGGTGAGAGCTATGCAAACACAGGATCATACAGTCTTCCTTTTTCCATCATGCATAGTAATTTAAAGGCAGGATGTGACTTTCTGGTGAGCAACTGGCATTTGTGCGTGCACATTATGTGCATGGCAGCAGGGGTGCCCGAGAGGGTCGTTGGGTGCTAAAATATTCCCCTTTTTAATTTGTCTTCTTGGGATAATTTCCAATATGCTTGTTCTCCCACACAATTGAAAATATGTAGCATGAACACTGGAAACACAGACACACACACGCACGCACAAACACGGAAACAGAAGGCTGGCCTGATGTGTCACAAGGGTTTGTCAAGATCACAGCAGGGTCCCCAAGAGATAATCTCAGTTTTGGGTTTTGGAGGCAGGGCGTAAAAGAGGGTGTGTGTGTTGTTAGGCTGATGGCAGCTGACAGAGACACACAGCATGCACAAATAGAAAGTACGAGAAAGATGACAATACACCGAGGTCACACAAACTCGCGCGCTCGCACACTGCTCATGCAAATGCACACGCATTCATTCACGCCTTGATGGCACCATCTGCCCTCTCCTGCAGCCTCTCTGTAAGCCTGGAGGCAAACTGTTGCTTATCTTATCATACCTGCTGAGTAATATGCATGCACACACACACACATGCATATGGACACACACACTTACATATGCTCAAACAGCAGTGAAAAAGTTGTAAGTAGTTTGACAGAAAAAGATCAGGAATATGGAAAACACACAGACACACACACACACACACACACACACACACACACACACACACACACACACACACGTGTTCTGATCCTTTGATCTCATTAAGGGGCTAGGCTGCAGGCCAAATCCCTGCTTTGCTGGAAAGACCTCAGGACAGCATGTCAACAGCTCTGAGTACAAGTTTACACTTACACATTGTAGGCATAATTCTGGCACACAGGCACACACCTTCTTGGGCATTTGACTTTTTTATTTTGAGGATGGAAAGAAAGACAGAAAGTTAATAATAATAAATCAATATGGTCTCTTTATATTCCTTCTTAATCCAGGTGCAATGTGCAGGACTACGTGTGGAACAAAGGTGCGCGTTGCGACTGGGCCGTCACCGAGTTCCAGGTGCTGTGCGTGGTGGTGGGCGTGTCCTCCGTGGTCCTCCTGCTGCTTTTTATGATCATCGTATTCTTTGCCAAGAGGCTGCACCACCTCAAGAACGAGAACAAGCGCCTTCGCAAACGCAGGTGTGTGCGTATGACCGGGAAGGGAGAAAATATTTTTGAAAAGAGAGCTGTGACTCACAGTTTGGTCGGTGCAAAGCGAGGTGACAACCTTATTACAAGCACATGGCAGTCAAAGCAGAGCAAATATGAAAGGAAGTCTATAAATTATTTGGTTTTCGCAGAAGTGACATGTGTTTTGTGCGAGCTGGTATATGTAGTGGAGAAAAAAATGCAGCTCTTAAAGATATGAATGCAAAAAACAACCATATTGCTCCAAATATTTACCACACAAATCTCTCTCTTTGCCATCCTGCAGTAAGTACCGCCCACAGAGCAGCGAGCCACAGACGGACGGCCTCTCAGTTTCCACAACAGCTGACGGCTCACAGCCAAACGTAAGGAAACTGTGTGACACCCCTCCGCCCGCTCCCCAAGCTCATACTCACAACCTGGCGTACTATGACAACATTATCTGTCAGGTATGCCCAGCTCTCCTCATGTTTGGTCCCGTCCCTTTCCCCCCTTTTTCTTAGTTTTTATTTCATTTTTCTATATATTTTCCCCCCTTCCCACCTCATTGTGTTCTCTCCTGTGTTGTCTCCCTGCCAGCTTCGCTTGATGATTCAGTCTACTGTATGTTTCTGCTGCACTGCCATCTGAAGTTTGCAGGCACACCAAAACGCACCATAATGTTGTCCTGTTACATCAAGACATAGATAAAAATGTAGCGTATGTCTGTGTTTAATGTTTTTTACCCTGACCCCTGATTCCCCTCAGAGGCCATCAACAGCCAGCTTTACCTGGGACTATAAACCCAGAAATTCTTATAATCAGCTCCAGGTAAGCACAAAGGAGATGCCCACATTACCTACATTAGTCTTCCTCCCTGGCTTTGCTTTAAAGTCCCCGACTGTGCAACTGCTAGAAACTTACAGTATTGTGCAAAAATCTCAAGCCACCCATTACTCCTTTATATTTTGTTTCAAGTAGCCAGACATTCCTATGTGTTTTAAAGTTTTCTTGAACAATAGTTCCTCAGGCTTTGTGAGGGTCATTCAGAGTTTTTCCATTTGGCTGCGTTTTCACCCATTTTCAGTCCAGTCCTTGGATCTGACCATTTTCAGAGGCATTCAAGTGTAAAAAAGAGACACCTGATTCAACACATAGACAATTAGCAAAGAACCAGTTTTAAATTGTATCTGTATGAGCACTTTGTTACTAGCAGCATGTCACAAAACCCATCATGTTGGATCAATTGCATTTTTTGGGGGGGTTCAAACCTTCATCAGTATGTACAGAGCAGGTCAGGAGAGAGGTACAACAATGTCTACAGCCATCTGTAAATCATGGTGGAGGCTCCGTCAGGGGTTGCATATTAATTTCAGCCAGTGGTGTTGGAATTGTTGTCAAAACTGATGAAATTCCAAACACAGAATTCATCATGCAAAACCATCTGGAAAGCATTAGATCGGCAACAGCTTCATTTTTTTTTTACCATGACAATGACCACACTTCCAATGCAGTAAATGCCTGAAATAGACAAACACACAGTGAAGAACTATCAGTCATGGATTGGCCTCCCTAAATAACTCTCTTCCAAAGAAAAGCTTTGAATGTCCTTCAAGAAACCTAGAGAACTATTTCTGAAGATTACTTAAAGAAATTACAAGAAAGCATATAAGGCAAACTCCTTTTTTTGCCTTATATGCATGAATACTTGCACATTTTAATAAATCGCCACATCTATTTCTCATTATCTCAGCAAAATATCAAGAAAAGAGATGCGGCTCAAGACTTTTGCACAGTACTGTAAATCTTTTGCACTTTATACGCTGCAAGCTGTCACTTCCACGACCTCTTCCCGCACCTGATCTCGTATCAGCTGAATTCCATGTAGGTGTAATGATTAATCACCCCCTGCCAGGCGTCCTGCAGCCAGTTGTTCAGAGGTGATATGTACTCATCGCTGTGTGGAGAAACAGTGAGTTCATACATTTGCTGCCTCTCCTACCTGCGCCTCTGCAGCTTCCTGAGAAGCTCGCTGAGGAAATTGAGCCACCATTTTGTCTCAGCTGCTTGCTCTCCATGCAGCTCAAACAGCCATTTTGGGTCCCCCTGCAGCAGGTTTCCTCTTTTCTCCCCAGTACCCTTCCACAGGTTGTGCTTTCTGTAGCATGCAGTGATGCATTCATTTCTGTCCACAATTCTTATTGTCTGTGTGTGTGTGCGTGTGTGCGTGTGTGTTGTGGGGGTGTTGTGTTTGCAGGAAGATGTGTTTGTTCCCCTGTTTACATCCATCAATTGCCTGCTGGGTTACTAAGGCAATAGAGAAGGTTACTGATGCATGAGTAAATTCATACTTAAAATTCAGTGTGGATTCTTGTGAATAAAGACGGATATAATAGGAGAATAACTTAAACGGCATAGGGGGTGTAGGAGATCAACAGCAACAGCACAACTTTAAATTTTCGGAACCTGTTTTGATGTGAAAGGGCGTTCGGCGAATTGCGTACAACAGTAGCCAGTGAAACTGATCGATTGTGCCCTACTTACCGCCTGATGTGACTTTGACCTTCAGATGTTGGTGAAAAGCCAATCAATGGATAGCTTGAACAATTACGAGCCTGACACACGGACATGAAACACAATAGATTTGCATTCTTACAAAAACAAGTCTCTGGGACTGACTTCACATTTGATCTGCAGAAACTAAAATCCAAATCATGCACTGATTCTCAGTCCATTAGCGACACTTAGCTGAACTACCTGAAGTGATCAAATTAGGATTTTTTTTTTAATAAGCTGCTGCTCTGAGAGCGGTGCTGGCATTTCAGTGCAGTGATTATAGCTACTTTTCGGTATCTTCCGGATCCTCTAAATGTCAGGTCGGGGGTTAAAAAGCCCCTGCAGGTACATGTCCTGTATTGCAATTTTTTTTAAATGTCATAGGTCCAACAGGTTGTTTTTTTTTTATGCTGCGGTATGATTAGCTGATTAGATAAAGGCCTGGATGTGAAGGTCTGGTGGTGGTTTTTCCGTGACTTTCAAGAATGATTATCTCGAGCAAGCAACAGGGGAAGGGTTTTCTGGAAGGGTTTCTTGTGTGTTTTTTGTTTTAACCAGTTATAAATATCATCTTTAAGTTCAGTTAGGCCAGTTACTCTGCGATGTCTGTCTCTCCTAGTCTGGCAGTGTATTTCTGCCAGTTCAGATTAAGTTGTCTCTGCAAAATCGTAATGCACAGCGATGCGCCACTATATTAGATCTTTCCCCAACACACACTAAGCAGTTTTTCCCTGTTAAATGACTGCCTGAGCAAGTGATTGCACACTCTTGCAAACAACAGTACAGTAAAAGTTCAGTTCTGTAATTAAAGGTGCAATCTCACACAAAATAGACCCCCCTGAGGATGATTATTAGACCTCAAAATAACTTTACCTTCGCCAGGGGCAAAAGTGTACACATATCTATATTCCCAAGCAGTAAAAGATGCATATCTGCACAGCTAAGAGAGTAAAAAGAGTAATTTAAAAAGGAAATCTCACTATTATTATTTTACAAGAATTCTGTTTAGCTTGATTTACTGACCAAAATAGTTTTTTAAAAAATGTACTTGAGTGTGTTTGTGATTTTTCAACAAAATACTGTGCACTCAAAAAAATGTATTTACATAAGATGAGTATTTCACAAGCAAATGACTCAGATAAACTTAAACAGTTTCTTAGGAGCTACCTGAAAGAGTTGTGTGGAACCATTTGACATAACTTTTTTAAAAGCAAATCCTCCAAAATTGTTCAAATGTTTCACCAAATTCCCCCCAAAATAAAAAGAACTTGTAGATTTTTAAGGTTCCACTAATTACTTGATTATTTAAGTTAGAAAAAACACATTTACTACATTCTGGTAAGTCTCTCTGTGCATGTCTTGCATATCAGCAGCACACTGGTGTAAAGATTTCCTCTTACAGCAAAAAAAAGTCTGGTTTGGAAGTTTCCCGAGGCCTTTGTTCTCACCTTGCATGCTGGATTGTCCTCCCACAGTCCAAATACATGTGCGTCAGGTTAATTGGGGATTTTTAGGTGCCTGTAGGTGCAGATGTGAGATGGATAAAGCTTTGAGTTGTAAGTTGTAAGACTGGCACCATGGAAGTGTTGTTGTATTTCCCAGAATAGTTTTGTACCTCGTCATTAAAATTTCGTGTTTTCTCTGCATATGAAGCATCTGTGAAGCGTAACCAACTTTCTCTGCAGGATGAGCCGCAGAAGCAGGAGAACCAAGCCAAGTCCCCGCAGCCCAAGGAGGAGGGGTCTATGAACATCCTCAACTCTCACTCCCCGAAGCACGAGAACAACCGCCCGGCCTCCGCCGTCCACGACCACGGCCTCACTCCTAACAACACGGAGGAAAAAGCCGAGGTAAACATGCTCCAGAACAACCTGGTATAAAGCTTCACCTTCTGTTAAAGTGTGCACACACACTCACACACACACACAAAAACGACAAAGCGCCGAGGCTAACATCGTTTACACCATGCGAAGTGCATACTGTGCATTCCTAGCAGTCTGATGAGACCTAATGTAAAAAGTAAGCACAACATGAATTAAAGATACAACTTGAAAAGCACAATAGTCTTGTTTACAAGGCTACCATGCCAACACTGATCACATAGTGGTGCCGCCTCCTCCTTCCTTTCATATCAGCCCCTTATGCTGGACTAAAACCTCTGGCTTGGACCAACTATTGACTGACTTTCCTTTCTGCTGATGCCCTGCCTTGGTCTTTGGCCAATGAAATCCTTTGCTGTCTTTTCTCACATTTCCCCAGCCCCTCCTTCCCCTTACCTCTGCTTGCCCCGCCTTATTGTCGCTCTCTGCCCGCATGCATTGTTGTTATCAATGAAAAGTGTCTGAAAACATAATATTTGCAACAAAAAATAAAATAAAAAGAAGTACGTGGAAATTAAGTGGATCTGTATTTGCGAAATATTAATGTTTGCTAATAAGTGGATATGTCTAGATTACATGAGGTCAAAGTAACTGCTCGGAGTTGATATACTATATACAATAGATATATTACACACGCTGTGTCTTGATTTTCAGTGTGATTTATAATGCTTTAATGTACCTTGCTATTCTTTTGTACTTTTTTTGGTATACATGGAGGATTGCAGTTCACGGTTGTTGGAATAAATCTTTTTAATTTACCCAGCTTGTCCCCGTGTGTTGTTGTGAGCTTTCCTCCAGACTGTATCTCTCTGTCCAGCTCTTTCATTCTTTTTCTTTCTTTCTTTCTCTGCATGTCTGCCTATGATGAAGCTAACTACTGCCCAGCTGCTCTCCCGCTAATAATAACTGAATGCTCGGCTGACCCTGCTTTTGTGCTACAGTAGGCTCCTCACAGATTGCACCGTCCGCACACACAATGGTGACTGCCCATTCAGAACCATGGACAGCTCCCTCAAATGAATAGAAACCGCAATAAAAGGTTCAAATGAAACATGTTTTGTTCAATAAGAAGAAATTTAACGCAGGCTTTTTAACCAGACTGGCAAGGAAACAGGATTTCTGAGTTTTCTTTTTTTCTTTTTTATTTTATTTTTGATGTATCTGTACTTTCCATGTATTAAGAAGTACACATGTTCCTGTTTGAATACCCCCCAAATTCCAACCTTCACTCTGTACTTACACCGATGAGAATGTAATTCGCCATAGTTATTTTTTATTCATCTACACTAAACACCTCTTCTGACAGCAGTGTTTTTAAGTATCATTTACACTCACCTGACAGTTTTTTAGGTACACCTTGCTAGTGCCAGGTTGGAGCCCCTGCTTTAATTCTTCGTTGTATAGATTCAACGAGGTGCTGAAACATTTCTCAGAGATTTTGGTCCATATTGAAATGACAGCATCCCTAAGGTGTTCTGTTGTATTCAGATCTGGTGACTGTGGCAACTATTTGAGAACTCATGTCATGTTCAAGAAACCAGTTAGAGATGATTGAGCTTTGTGACATGGTGTGTTACACTTCAGGATAACGAGGATGGACATGGTCAGCAACCAAAAGTAAATGTCCCACACTGTTACAGCACCACCACCAGCCTCAGCTATTGATCCAAGGCAGGATAGAGTCATGCTTTCATGTTGATTACACAAAATTTTGACCCTCTAATCTGAATGTCGCAGCAGAAAGACTCATCAGACCAGACAACGCTGTTCTAATCTTCTGTTGTCCAATAATGGTGAGCTCTTGGGAATTGTAGCTTCAGTATCCTGTTCTTAGGTGACAGGAGTGGCACCCAGTGTGGTCTTCTGCTGACCCACCTGCTTCAAGCTTTAACATAAAGTGCTATGCATTCAGAGATAATTGGTGGTTATTTGAATTACTTTTATCTTCATGTAAGTTCAAAGAGGTCTTGCAATTCTCCTCCAACATCCAAGAACATCAACAAGGATGGTTGTATGTGAAAATCCCAGCAAATCATCAGTTTGTAAAAGAGTCAGACCAGTTCATCTGCCACCAACAAACAATGCCACATTCAAAGTCACTTCAACTTCTGTTCATCCCCATTCTGATGCTCTGTTTGAAACTCAGCACACCTTGTCTTCATGCATAAATGCACTGAGCTGCAGTGTACCTGTATAAAGTGGCCAGTGAGTATATATGTCATCATTATGAAAAATAATATTGATATTCAAACAGTTTAAACTAAATTCTCAACATTTATAGCCACTTAGTCCCAAATTTTATTACAGTTTAACTGGCTATAATCATTATATTTCTATTATGTGTCTAATGGAAATTATTACCTAACTGTGCAGTTTCCCTTAACTCCATGAAGCTCAAAGCGTCTCTCAGCTCGCTGCTTAGCTAGCTAGTCTGTAACTCTTTGGAGCTACTGCCTCTTACACCCTTCTTCAGCAAACAGACACTGATCTTATTCAGGAGTTATCGGGAACAAGAACCACAGGAATTTGAGAGTGAATATTAATTGAATGTTGCTCTGTAGTTGCCAGACATGTAAATCTGGCAACTGATGAGAAATGATGAGAAATACATTTGGTATTTCTCATCATTTCCCCCCAAAAGCTAATTACACCAGAAGCTAAAAATCAATACTGTAGCTTTCAGCTATCCCAGGGCCCCAGTGTCACCCCTGTGCTTGTCAATGTAATTTGATTTCATGTTTTTGCCTTCATGACCCTTCCTGCATTGTTGCAATCTTCTCCACTTACCATATTTCAACATCAGGATGGAGTGACTATTGGCCTGGAAGTGCTTCTCCCCAAAGAGGCCAAGCTTCACCCAGAGAACAACCCGCCCCTTCAGTATGATGTCTTCCTCTACAAGGTTGCCAACAATGGAGACTCTGCCTCTCCCAGCCAAGGCCTCACCTCTCACTCATCCAGTTCTTACCCCACCACTCATCCCATTCCCAGATCACCCAATACACCTAAGACATCCAAGGTGCCTAAGTCACCCAAATCCCCCAAACAGACCAAGGAACCGCTGAGAGGGAGGCACTCTTCACCTGGCCGGCACCGCTCACCCGGTCGCCATCCATCACCAAGTCGCCACTCAGCTCCCGGGTGTTATTCTTCCCCTATCTGCCGTATGTCTTCCCACCACTCTCCCTCTCATTTCCGGTGCATGCCCACCTGCTCTCCCACTCCCCCTCAGCTACGCAGGCCCAGAGGTCGGTCTCAGGAACAGGAAGCTGAGACCTCATATACTCGGCGAGAGTACTATGGAGGACACATCCGCCCATTCCCATCATCACCACATCTTACCCAGCCTCCTCCATCACCATCCAGGGGGAAGTACTGCCCGGTCAGTACCCGATCCCTGCCACCACTCTCCTGACCAGGCCTTTGCTCAGTCCAGCCCTTTAAACGCACAAACATCTGTCATGATCTACTCTGTCCAGTGATCTGTGTCCATCGTGTCTCTAACTTTTTTTTTTAAAATTAGCTATTTATAGTTTTTTCATCCACCTGTCCATTTTTGCACCCCGTTTCCCCACTTTTATACCCTTAGGATAAGGAAGGCACCTAAACCTGTTCTAGGAAACGAAATAACTGGGACAACCCTGCACAGACAACATTCACTGAAATTGAAACATGGATGGACCAAAAAAACACCAATAAATCACTGCATGGTTGCTGCAGCTGCATATTCACACCTCTCTGTAAAAAAAAAAAGCCCAACATCTCAAGGCTCAGGTTTCTGCTCACAGAATAAACTCTTATATGTGAACAACACTATCTTAGCATGGTGCCAACATCAGCGACAGCTGACGATATTGTCAATAAAAGGTTTCATAGCCTTAGTGTTATCAGCGGTTTATACAAATCTTTTGCTATTCGATGTGTATTTTTTCATGTTTTCATAGGTGTTTTGAGTGTCTTTTTCAGTGTTTCTAATCCTTAATAAATAGGATACAACAAATCATGCAGTACTGTTTTCTGAAGATGGAGAAACTTTCTGTGTGGTGGCTGTTCATGAAATATGAGGGACTCTGCTGCCCCCTTGTGGACAATGCAAACATTGCAACGAATGGTCTATGGGAGTGGTTAGATAGATCCTTATACTGTGAGACACTGCCACGTTTTACATAAACAACAAAAATAAAATAAAAATAAAACGAGGTTATTCAAAGAGTAAGGTTGATATTGTGCACTATAATAGTGCAGTTTGCATTATTACATAATATGCACATTATAAATGTGAGGAAAAAGCTATAAGAAGGTATAATACAGAAATATTTGTTTGAGAATTAAAATGATCCTGTGAGGGAAATCTCATGTTTTTTGAATGAACCCCAGAAAAATTACAATTCCTTTGATGTGTAAAAATATTTCAAATTGAAATTGTTTGAAATATTCAAAATATTACTAAAATATATTTTAAATGAAACCGGGGTGTGAAAGGCTATATAGTTCTCTGAAGTGGTGTGTTGGTGTCCATGCTCATAAAGACAGCATATAACTGAAAATTTATATGACACCAGTTAAGCTTCATGATATTTAAGGTGCTGCATGAGTAGAAAGTTAGTAGATAGTTTGCACACCAGTACAAAGCCTTAGTAGCATTTGTACCACTGGATGGTTACTGTTATCACTCTTGATATTATACATTTACATAAGGAGACTCGTGCTGTGAATAAAGTTGTGGTTGTTTTTGTTGTTTTTTTAATAAAAATAATAACGCCAATACATATGGCAGATATAGAAGGTAATGACACTGCCTTTTTTTGTGCATGAAGAACAGCTTATGTCAGGATTAGGAGAAAAACATAAATGAACAGTCTGTTTAAATGACGACAAAAAAAGACAAAAGAAAAAGATGTGTTTAACCAAAGTATTAAAATGCATCTAAAAATGCATTAAAACCAGCTCATATTTGTGATTTAGACTACAGTTATGTATATAGTGGGGGGAAAAGCACTTAAAATAGCAGTTTAAACACTTTTATTCTGTCTATATCATTTTCAAAACAAATACTGAATGAGAGGGCGTGATGTTCCCCTCAAAACTTAGAAATTTATTTAGTATTGCACTTTTTCCGACTGGGATAGGCTTCAGCTGTTTAAGTGAGCATCCCTGTAATGTTCAGGATGCAAGCCCAATCATCTCCAGTAGCAGTACTTTTGTTTCTTTGGGTGATTCAGATTACAATTTCCCACAATGTGACCTCTTCTGCAGCAGCAGTTAACAGCTGCAGGCTGCAGCAACTCAGCTTTACTCTTCTCTGATGTTTCTCAAGGATGAAGACCACCTTCTGGTTCCAGATGGAGAAGGTGAAAGAGAAGTTATTCTTCCTTCTTTTTTTATTTGTCAGAAATGGGCGCAGAATGAATAATTGACAGAAGCCTCCAAGGTGCCCACAGTGTGTCCTTTGTATGTCCTCGGTTTCCACTTTTTAATTTGCTCTTGAAGTATTTAGGATTTTCGGAGAGTTTTTCCTACAAGGACACTTAAAAGGTTTGAGAGTGTGAAAATAAAATAAGAAGAATTTCTCTGACCAAGGAAACCTTCAATGTTTTTCTGCACTAATACAAAAAAATCACATAAACCAATGACAGAAAAGCATTTTGCTATGGTGAAATACCTCAGGTGGATGGTTGAAGGTAACTGACTACATGGTCATATTCACATGTCCCTCCCTGTTTTTAATGCAGTCTTTTACTCCAAAGAGTCTGACCTCCACAAACCGCCAGACAGCTGTTATTACAACCTGCATTTCAGCTTTAAAGTAGAGTGACCTTAACCATCCACATGAAGAAGTGCAGCAGCTGCCCTTACATTTAGATATGATGAAAACTCTACAGAAAAATTCAAATGAACTCTTGCTGAGTAGCTTTCTGTTGTGCCTAAATGCAGCTGAACTCCAGGAATAAATTAAAGCTAAAGGATGTGAAAGTGGAACTTCAAAGTAGTTCCAAACAAGGCTCGAACTGTCAGCTAGGTTTCACCTCTGCTCATTTGTGCTGTTCGGAATATTTTTAACTGAATAATTTGACAAATAATTTGCATTGCTGTGAGGTACAGATGGTCCAAGAGGTCTGTGCGGCAGTGATGGTGAGTAAAATTCTACTTTTTCACATAGCAGCTCTAATTAGCAGGCGTCTGCATCTGTGCAATGTATCCATACACTCCACATGCAGCCACATAGATGGACTTGCTCATCAAGCTTGCCAGCATTAGTTGATAACTAGCAACCACTTGCCCAAATATGCTTACTTAAGGCTCCAAAAATGAACAAAATGGGCCAAAATGTTAATGCTGAGGGTTCAAAGTTAGCACCACATAAAACACTGAGTGGCTAATTCTTCATCCTTAAAAGTGAATACAGTCAGATACATTGATCCGGACCATATTTCAGAACATGGATCATGTAAACACAGAATGAGTGAAAGAATTAAAAAACTGATATGATGGTTTTATTTGGAGTTGATAGAACTTTAAAGTTACAGTGTGTTAAATATCTAGATGTCAGTAAATTGCAGATTGCAGACAACTGAGGTCTTTTTTCTTACCCCTTTAAATTCTAGTGCATAATCCTAGCTACAGTAGCTGTTGGAAAAACATATTTTAGCCAGCCAGGAGATATCAAAACATTAAATTTAGATATTTCTACTGCTGTTTGTGTTAAGAAAAACAACCCAGCACCCCGCCACACACACACACATTATATTTTAACATATAAGCAGTGTTGGTCAAGTTACTTGAAAAAAGTAATCAGTAATTAATTACTGATTACTTCCCCAAAAAAGTAATCCCGTTACTTTACTGA